TTCCAGCTACAGCTCCTGGAAGCCTGGGTTTCAGAACTGGAGCAGTGCTTGGCGACACTGTGGAGTATCCTCGAGGTGGAGAGTGGTGTGGAAAGCACGTACAGAGAGGTGGCCACACCACAGGCTCAGACTCCACAAGCAGGCAGGGAATGGGTGACCATTAGACAGAGCAAGAGGGCTAAGCAGGCAGTGCAGAAGTCTCCTGTGGCTATTACTGCTTTGGGAGTGGTCACTCAGGGAAAAGCATTAACAGCCAAATTGTTGCACATGGTTGACTCTGCTGCACAGGGGTGGAGTAAAAAGTGTGGAAATTCAACAGTTATAGAGGATTTCATTGTTAAGAGAATAGACAGGCGTTTCTGTGCCTGCTAACGAGACTCCAGGATGGTATGTTGCCTCCCTGGTGCTAGGATCAAGGATGTCTCAGAACGGCTACAGGAAATTCTGGAGGGGGAGGTTTAGCAGCCGGTGGTCAATGTACACATTGGTATAGACGACATAGGTAATAACAAGGAATGAGATCCTAAAAGCAGAATATAGGGAGTTAGGAAGTAAGTTGAAAAGTAGAACCTCAGAGGTAGTGATCTTAGGATTACTATCAGTGCCACATGCTAATCAGAATAGAAATCCAGGATATATCAGATGAGTATGTGGCTGAAGAGATGGTGGCTGAAGGAGGAGAGTTTCAGGTTCCTGGGGCTTTGGTCCCAGACCTGGGGTTGGTGGGACCACTACAAACTGGATGGGTTACACCTGGGTAGGACCAGGACTGATGTCAGTGGATGAATTAATTGGGCAAATTGATAAAAACAGTTACAATATAGTCAGGATTATGGAGAAATGACTGCAGGGGGACCTGAGATGGAAAATGAACATTCTGGAATATTCAGTATTTAGGAAGGACGACAAAAAGGAAAAGGTAGAGGAGTTGTGTTACTGGTTAAAGAGGAAACTAACACCACAGTGAGGAAGGATATTAGCTCCAAAGGTATGGAATCTGTATGTGTAGAGCTGAGAAATATCAAGGGGCAATCCACACTTTAGTGTGGGTTGTATATAGACCCCTAAACTATAGGGGTAATGTTGGCAATAGAAATAAATGGTTAATTAGGGACATATGCAATCAAGGAGCATCTATGATTATGGGTGACTTTAATCTGCATATAGATTGAGTAAATCAGACTAGTAACAATACCATGGAGGAAGAATTCCTGGAGTGTATTTGGGATTGTTTCCTGTGCCAATATTTTGAGAAACCAAGCCAAAAACAGGCCAATAAACAGAAACAGCTGGAGAAACTCAGTAGGTCTGGCATCATCTTTGGAGTTAATATTTTGAGTCCAGTGACTCTTCTTCAGAAAGTTCTTCTGTTCTAAAGAAGGATCACTGTTAACTCTGTTTCTCTCTCCACAGATGCTACCAGATGGTGAGTTTCTCCAGTAATGTCTGTTTTTGTTTATTTCAGATTGCCAGGATCCACTGTTCTTCATTTAGTTTAGAGAATAGGCCATCCTAAATTGGGTGTTGTGTAATAAGAAAGGAATAAAATTGTCAGTCTAATTGTGTGAGGCCCCTTGGGGAAAAGCAACCAAAATATGACAGAATTCCTCATCAAAATGGAGAGTGATGGAGCTGATTCTGAGACGAGGGTCTTGAATCTATGATGGTATGAGGTGGGGGAATGAATAGATTGGAAATGTTACTTAAAGGGATGATGTCAGAAAGGCAATGGCAAGCATTCAACAAACGTGTGGATAAGCTGTAACAATTGATCATTCCCGTCTGGCATGAAAGCAAATTGAATAAGGTGGCCAAAACATAGCTTACAAGGGAAATTAGAGATAATATTAGATCCAAGGAAGAGGCATACACATTGTCCGGAAATAAATAACAGACCTGAGGAGTGGGTGCAGTTTAAAATTCAGCAATGGAAGACAAAATGATTGATTAAGAAAAGGAAAATAGAGTACGAGAGTAAGCTTGTGGGGAATGATAAGGACTGTAAAAGTTTTTATAGTTATGTGAAGAGGAAAAGATTGGTGAAGACAAATGTAGGTCTCTTTCTGTCAGAAATAGGGAAATTTCTAATGGGGAACAAAGAAATGGCTGACTAACTCAATGAATACTTTGGTTCTGTGTTCACAAAGGAGGACACAACTAACATACCAGAGATAAAAACAAAGAACTGCAGATGCTGAAGATCACAAATGATGGGGTACACAGGGTTTGGTGAGAGCAAGGAACTGAAAGAAATCAGTATTAGTTGTAGAAAAATGGTTGTGGGAAATTGATGGGATAGAAGACCAATAAATCTCCACGCCCTTATAATAACATCCCAGAGCAGTTAAGGGAGTGGCCACAGAAATTGTGGATGTGTTGGTGGTCATCTTCCAAGATTCTTCAGATTCTGGAACAGTTCCTACAGATTGAAGGCTAGCTAATATAACCCCGCTATTTAAAAGGGAGGTAGAGAGAAAACAAAGAATTAGAGCCCAATTAGCCTGATGTCATTAGTATCATAGTCATAGAGTCATTTAGTCAAACAGCATGGAAACAGACCTTTCAGTCCAACTAGTCCAGGCCGACCAAGTTTCCTAAACTAATCTAGTCCCACTTGCCTGCTTTTGGCCCATATCCCTCTAAACCTTTCCAATTCATGTACCTGTCCAAATGTCTTTTAAATGTTGAGTCTGGTGTCGGTTGTGGGGAATATGCTAGAGTCCATTATCAAGGATTTTACAGCAGATCACTTAGAAAATAGTGACAGAATCAAACACTTTCGGCATGGATTTGCAAAAGGGGAATCATGATTGACAAATCTGCTGGAATTCTTTGAGGATGTAACCAGTAGAGTTAATGAGGGGGAGTCAGTGGATTTGGTTTATTTAGTCTTTCAAAAGACTTTCAACAAAGTCCCACATTACAGACTAATGTGTAAAATTAAAGCTCACAGGATTGGGGTTGGGATACTGAGATGGACAGAAGCCTGGTTAGCACACAGGAAGCAAATAATTGGAATAAATGGCTCTTTTTCCGAATGGCAGGCAGTGACTAGTGGGGTACTGGAGGGATCAGTGCTAGAAACCCAGCTATTCACAATATGTATTAATGAGAAGGAAACTAAATGTAATATCTCCAAATTTGCAGATGACCCAAAGCTGGGTGGAAGGGTAAGCTATGAGGAGGTTGCAGTGATGTTGCAGTGTGATTTGGACAGACTGAGTGGACAAATGCATTGCAGATGCAGTCTATTGTGGATGAATGTGAGGTGATCCACTTTGGTAGCAAAAACAGGAAAGTAGACTATTATCTGATTGGCTGTAAATTGAGAGAGGGGATTGTGCAACAAGACCTGGGTGTCCTTGTACACCTGTTGCTGAAGTAAGCATACAGGTACAGCAGGCAGTAAAGCAGGCAAATGGTGTGTGGGCTTCCTTAGTGAGAGGATTTGAGTCCAGGAGCAGGGAGATCTGGCTGCCATTTTACAAGGCCTTGATGAGACCACCCCTAGAATATTGAGTGCAGTTTTGGTTCCCTTATCTGAGGAAGCATGTTCTCGCTAAAGAGGGAGGACAGTAAAGGTTTACTAGACTGATTTCTGGGATGGCAGGACTGGCAAATGAGAAGAGATTGTTCAGAAGATTGAGAGGTATCTGATAGAAACCTATGAAATTCTAACAGGACTAGACAGGTTAGATGCAGGAAGGATGTTCCTGATGGTGGGGGAGTCCAGAACCAGTGGTCATAGTTTAAGGATAAAGGGTCAACCTTTTAGGACTGAGATGAGGACAGGTTTCCTTACACAGAGAATGGTGAGCCTGTGGAATTCACTACCATAGAATGCATATTTAGGAAAAAACCCATTCATTCCAACTATTTGATTCCTGTCTGCTTAACCAGGTTTCTATCCATCTTAAATCCCACCCCCAATCTCGTGAGCTTTAATTTTACATATTAGTCCATAATGTCAGATTTTGTTGCAAGTCTTTTGAAACACCAAATAAGCCACATCTACTGGATCTCCCTCATCAACTCAACTAGTTACATCCTCGAAGAATTCCCGTAGATTTGTCAATCATGATTTCCCTTATGTAAATCCATGCTGACTATGTCTGATTCTATCACTGTTTTCTAAGTGATCTACTTTAAAATCCTTGATAATGAACTCTAGCATCTTTGCCACAACTGACACCAGACTTGCTGGTCTATTATTCCCCATTTGTTTCTTTATCTTCCTTTTCAAATAGTGGGGTTACATTAGCTACCCTCCAAACTCTGTTCCAGAGCCTGAAAAATCTTGGAGGATGACCACCAATGCATCCAATATTTCTAGCGCCACTTCCTTTGGTACTCTGGGATGTAGATTATCAGGGCCCCGGGGTTTATTGGCCTTCAATCTCATCAATTTCCCATTACCCAATTCTCTACTAATACAGATTTCTTTCAGTTCCTCCCTCTCAGTGAACCATGTTGCCTGTCATTTCTGATCTTCAGCATCTGCAGTTCTTTGTTTTATCTCTGCAACTCTTTTCCTCTTCTTCTCCACTGTTTTCATCCTGTTAAAATATTTTCTCAAAACTCACCTTTAGCTGAGCTTTCATCCTCCCATACTTATAGCCTCCTTTGGCTTTACCTTTCCACGTGTGAAACAATTGGGATTTCCTTTCTCCAGTGAAAGTATTCAGATACAATGTTATAAGACTAAGTGCTATGACACTGTTCTCTTGCAAAACATTAATGTAGAAATTTAAAAATATAAATATAATTAATGAACGGTACAAGAAAGTCTGTTGTTCCATTTCAAAACACCCTAAAAAAAAATTACCTTTAATCCTGCACTTTGATCCTACTATTGTATTAGTGTTGCACACTGTGTGGAATCGCATTACAGGCTGTAACTCTCAGCAAAGACTTATTTTTTGCCTGCCAAAATAATGCAATGTGGACACAAGGACGAAGTATCACCTTTAATTGTTGTTAGGTATTTAAGACAGCATGCCATTCACTTGACGTTTAACATAGAGAGCTTTGGAGAAGACATAGCCTCTGAAACAGAGGATACTGCAGTGTTTAATGCTAGTGAGACCATAAATTAGCTGAATAGATTTGGGACAGCCTTAAGAGTTAGCTGTGAGCTCGCTTGAGACTTTTTATTTTAAGGCATAAACGTAGAACGCTTTATATAATGCGCAGATTATTGTTTCTGATACTGCCTCAGCTGTTAGCAACTGGTACATGTGATACAAGCCCAGGTCCTGAACAAGAAGGAAAGCATGAAGGTAAGACGATTTGTTCCTTAGACAGGAAATGTTTCATTTCGATTGATTTGAACAATCGTACCAAGGGGAACAAATTGATCTCCTGTACTTGTTTCTGCTATCTCAGAAATGTGCTTTCAGCAAATAATTGTTAACAATGTCAAAGTCTTTTTGATAAGACAAGGAATGAAAGTTTAAAGATTTGTGTAAATTTAAATTATAAAATGGGATTTTCCTTGAATTTTAACAAGGGATGTATAGAACTCAGTTACCGAGCTACCCAGTTGAATACCTTTTAAAGTATGAAACAGTCTGACAGGATCTTCGTATACAGTTTCTGTACAGTGCAATCATTTCAGTTTGTGAAGGCTCAAGCCCATGCTCAAGAATTTAAATTGACCGTCTAAGTGCGAATGTGTTTATTCACGTCCAATAGATCATTTGTTTGTTAGTATTTAACGTTACTAATTATTTCCTAACATATATAATATGTTCGAATGTTTCCGTGTAATCATTTTTCTTCACTGGTCACTTTATCTATTCTATGGTCCCTGTAATGACATGCACAAATAAGAATCTATTCAATACTTTAAATAATCAGACATTTCAAAGAGTATAGGAGACGGGAGGTCATGTTGTGGCTGTGCAGGACGTTAGTTATGCCACTTTTGAAATACTTGTTTAGTTCTGGTCTCCTTGCTATAGGAAAGATGTTGTTAAAGTTGAAAGGTGCAGAAAAGATGTGCATGAATGTTGCCAGAATTGGAGGGTTTGAGCTATAGGGAGAGACTGAATAGGCTGGGGCAATTTTCCATGGAGCCTCAGAGGCTGAAGGGTGACCTTTTATGGAGGTTTAGAAAATCATGAGGGGCATAGATAGGGTGAATGACCAAGGTGTTTTTCCCCAGGTGGGGGAGTCCAAAACTAGAGGGCATAAGTTTTTAAGGTGAGGGGGGAAAGATTTAAAAGGGACTGAAGGGGCAACTTTTTCACACAGAGGGTGGTAAGTGTATGGAATGAGTTGCCGGAGGACGTGGCAAAGGCTGATACAACAACATTTAAAAGGCATCTATATGAATAGGAAGGGTTTCGAGGAATATGGGCCAAATGCTGGCAAATGGAACTAGATTAATGGAGGATATCTGGTTGGTGTGTATGAGGTGGACTGCAGGGTCTGTTTCCTTGCTGTATCACTCTGACTTCTGTTGTGTGTGTGTGTGTGTGTGTGTGTGTGTGTGTGTAGGAAAATTTACAAAAAGTAGTAAATTGAAGCACGTACAGAGAGAATAAACTTTTTTAAGCTTTGGAAAATAATATAGATAATCACCTGGCTTTGTCCTTCAAGATATCGGCAACTATATTTTTTAAAAAAAGGAATAGGTCTACAGTTATATAGTGCAAAACTTTGGAGGGGGTACCGCCTTATGAATGAGAAAGCAGCATTTTGCCACCTCAGGTGGACCTAGAAGATCCCACTGTGTTATTTAGAGAATTCTCCTGGTTTCCTGGCCAACATCACTAAATCAGCCTTCCTGGTTATTTGTCTTATTGCCATTTGTGGGATCTTACTGTGCTTGAATAATCTGCCATGTTCCTTACATTGTCACAATATGAACACTGTACAGTAGTAACTAGTTGTGGATCATTTTGAGGTAATGAAAATGCTGTATAAATATATAGATGAGAACTAATTATGTCTGTGTGTATATATAGTGACACCATGTAGCATATATACAACTATTTTCTCTTTAAGCTCGCATTCATCCTTAATGCTGCTTCTTTTTTTCACTTTGTCTGTGGTGTAATCTCTTTTTTCTACTCCTCTCTCTGTTCCTCCTTCCTTGTTTGGATCTCACTTCAATTCAAGGCCCAAAATTTGGTTAGGATAAGGTCATTATTTTAAAAAAAAAATTTAAAATAGCCACTAAATGTTTTGGTGAATCTGTAAGCTTTTTGATGTTGCACTCTCTCAGTAACTGTTTTGAAACCTGATAGGATGGTAACTCAAGCTTTGGTGGATTTTTTTCCACTTCACTTTCCTCACTTGTCTTTCTTCAGTTATCTTGCATTGATAGTCAAATGCTGGCGTATTAACATGGAGTAGTTAAATTTAAATGGGTGCATTTAGCTGGAGGCAGAGTTGAAATGCAGGATATAAACTGCTGAGGGGAGCTCAGCGTAAGGTAGGGCCATTTTACCTTGTATCTCATGTCGCGTTTGAATAAGGAGGACAGATTCCTGTACACTCCTGTAAGGAGTGACATCAAGGGTGGCAGACAGGGAAAGAATGCTGGGCATGCAAGGGAATGATTTCTGGTATAAAATACACACTAGAGTGGGCAGTTGACAGCTGATCCATTTCCATACTTCTGTGATGCCATTGCCAGCAGTGAAGACCAGGTGCAGGGAGATCTGAGGATAACTTGCAAAACCAGGTGGACCTTTCTAGCTTTTCCCCTGTTCAGGAGGTTTCCACTGAAAATTAAATGCAGTTCACTAATTTTTCTCTGTCTCTGACTCCTAGTTCAGCCATCCTAGTTGACCCCTCAGTGGGCCTTCTAAATTCTTAAAGTCAAAAACCTGTGGCAGTGCTCATTGTAAAGGGTTTCCAGATTTGCCAAAGGGCCTCTTTCCTGGTCTCCAATTTATTAAGAAAGTTGTGACGTGGGTGATTGGAGCCAGTGGTTGGGAGCTGTGAGAGCTATCGGGGAAAGGAATGTAATCACAGACCACATTCATCATTGCTGCATTTTAAGGCAGATCTTAAAATCTACTTCAGAGTTTCAAAGTATAAAGATTAACTGCAAACTTAATATGCTGCGAAAATTAAAAGCATCAAGTTTGTAACAGATTTTGTCCAGACCTAGCCTAAGACCACAAGACAAGAGCAGAATAGACCATTCAGCCCATTAAATCTTCTCCACCATTCAGTGATATCGTGGCTGCTCTGATGATCCTCAACTCCACCTTCCTGCCTTGCCCCCATAACTCCCTTGATGCCCTTATTGATTAAAAATCTGGCTATCTCAGCCTTGAATCTACTTAACAGCCCAGCTTCTAGAGGCTTCTGCAGTAATAAACTCCACAGATTGACTTAAAAACCGAAAGAACTACGGATGCTGTAAATCAGGAATAAAAACAGAAGTTACTGGAAAAGCTCGGCAGGTCTGGCAGCATCTGTGGAGGAAAAAATCAGAGTTAACGTTTCGGGTCTGGTGACCCTTCCTCAGAACTGATAATAGCTGGGAAAATAGGGACTTATACAGATTCACTACCCACAGACAGAAGAAATTTCTCTTTGGCTGTCTTAAATAGGTGACCTTTACAGTTACATTGTCCTTGCGCTTATAATGGCACTTTATAAGGAATCGATTGATTCTTTAGAACAATCTCGGGTTTATAGCATCAAAATTTCATAGAATTATCCCATTATGGGTCTTGTACTGCACTAGGTAGTTACATCAGTCAAATTAGAGGCACCATGCCAGCAGCAGACTGCAGCATTTCATTGGCTGTACAGCGCTATGAGAATATCACAAAGTTATGGAAGGCAATAAATAAATGCAAATTTATTTTCCCCCTTTGTTCTTACCTGAAACTGTTAGGCGCTGAGTGACCAGTGATGGTTCAACTCGCCCACATTGGAAAATGCCGTTGGCTTTGGGCAGAAAAGGGCCTGTTTTTAGGAACCTGCATGAGATCAGCCTTGGAGTGGCTAATCGCATCCATAATCTGCCATTGGTTGTACAGCTGCAGTTTCTGACTCCTTATTCTGAAACTAAACCCAAAGAAAAGGTTTAGACCTGCTCTCCCTCAGACCACCTATGAGTACCAAAGATTATTACTCAGTACTGATACTCAGCATCGCACCCCTGCCAGCTGGCCCTTCCTATGGTGCCAGAATGGGAAGGTGACTTTGAACATTTGCATAAGTTAAGAGTGATGAAGCCTCTTGTGCCTTACACAGTGGAGGTTAGAATGGTTTGCTGGTTGCTTCTGCACGTGCCAGGCTGACTTACACCTGGAGTTAAAAATGGGCTTTATCCTATCAATGCAAATTAGAATAAATCATGCCCCCCTCATAATTAAAGGCTGTGCCAACAATGCATTGACCCACCAATTCACTGAACCAATTATAAAACAACAGCAGAAAATGCTGAAACAAAAACAGAAATTGCTGGAAGAGCTCAGCAAGTCTGGTAGCATCAGAGAAATCAGAGTTAACGTTTCGGGTCCAGTGACCTTTCCTCAATCCAGCAGAAAATGTTGGATACGCTCAATAGGCCTTCATCATCTGTGGCAAAAGAAGAGCAAATTATTAAAATTGGAACTTCTGTTAAGCAAAGTGAGGAAGGGAGGGGGGAGCAGAAGATCCACTGTGGTGATCTGTGGTATTTATGGGATGATGGTGCAAAAAAGAATGGTCAATCACTTAAGAGACAACAATATCTAGTGCAGGTGTAAATGTAATATGCAGAGTCACCACCAAGAGTTGCCAGGGATAGAGGTTATGATCTGAAATTGTGGACTCAGTGCTGACTCTGGAAGGCTGTAAAATGCCCATTTAAAAGATGTGGTGCTATTCCTTGATCTTGGGTGGAGCTTCATTATGACAGTTTAGAAAGCCATGTTCAGAAAGGTCAGACTGATAGCGGAGTGAAGAATAAAAATGATAGGTCAAAAAACGCTTTGGGTTCTGCTTGAAGACTGAATGAATGGAGATGAGAGATAGTAGGAACTGCAGATGCTGGAGAATCTGAGATAACAAG